TTTTTACTGATAAATATGCATTATCAACTTGTTAAACATTTATTGGGTTGCCTGGGTGGTGCAGTTGGTTAAACGTCTGACTCGATTTCAGCTCAGGTAGTGATCTCAGGATCATGAGATCAAGTTCCACCTTGGGCCCTGCACTCAGCACAAAGTCTGCTTAAGACTCCCACTCTCCCTCTCCCTCCGCCCCTCCCTGCCCGTGCTCTCTCTCTAAAATAAATAAATAAATCTGAAAAAAAGAAACTTTTAAATATATGGCACTTAAATGTTTGTACCATTAGTACATAAAAATAAAGGTAAATGTGATCTCATCACTAAAACATTTATTTATTTGAGAGGGAGAACACAGCTGGGGAAGGAGCAGAATAAGAGGCAGAGAATCAGACACCTGAAAAGAGCTCCTTCCCAAACTGTTTGCTCTGAGGACAGGGATGGCCATGGCAGCATCTGTGCAAGGGGGATGTATACACTGAGACAAAATTCTGGAATTCCAGGATCTCATCTGCTTGCTGGGAAATGATTATCATTTCACCTATAAGTGCAGTGACAGTGTCTGCATGGGGAGTAGAGATTAACTGGAAAACATTTCAGACCGAGCAAACCAATGAAAGCTATTAAAAAGTACTTGCGGGACGCCTGGGTGGCTCAGTTGGTTAAGCAGCTGCCTTCGGCTCAGGTCATGATCCCAGAGTCCTGGGATCGAGTCCCACATCAGGCTCCTTGCTCATCAGGGAGCCTGCTTCTCCCTCTGCCTCTGCCTGCCATTCTGTCTGCCTGTGCTCGCTCTCTCTCTCTCTCTCTCTCTGGCAAATAAATAAATAAAATCTTAAAAAAAAAAAATTAAAAAAAAAAAAAAAAGTACTTGCTTTTGAAATAATCAAAATCCCAAAAGAATGTTAAGGAAAGGAATCTGAGATCTAATAAGTGAGTGACGGAAGCCAATCAAATGCCTATTGGGGCTTTTCAGAAGATTTGAAAGTTTTTTGCCATTCCTGAAAACACTGAGGTTAGTGAAACTGAAGGAAAAGACACTGTGGGTGAAGTTAAAAAGTATATCCAGAGCTGGGCAAATAAATGTTAAATGTGCTTTGTCATTTTGTTCAACATTTTAAAACATCAATTATGGCTGCGGGGCGCCAGGGTGGTGTCCTTAGTTAAGCCTCTGACTCTCAGGTCATGATCTGGGGGTCATGACATTAAGCCCTGCATTGGGCTCTGAGCTGAGCATAGAGTCTGCTTAGGTTTCTTTTTCTCCCTCAGCCCCTCCCCACTGCTCTCTCTCTAAAATAAATAAATCTTTTAAAAAGACCACATCAATTATATACCTCATGTGTTTCAGGCACATTTCTAGGAACATGGAATATATAATGCAAAAATGTAAAAAAAAAAAAATCCCTCCTGGAACTTACTCCATAGTTGATGGAAAAGGCAATATGCAATTCATAACTTATATTAAGTTGCATAGCGTAATAGAAGGTGATGGGTCCTAAGAAAAGAAGAACAGCGAATGGGTGATGAAGTCAGGAGTTTGGGGTGGGTGGAGGTGGTAAACTGGTATCTACATTTGGACTCGAAGTGAAGACAACACGGGAAATATTTTAGGTGGTTTATTTCTTCTTTGCCAACTGTTACATATCCATCGTCTTGCCTTACTGAATGAAACTGGAACTCCAGGATAACTGAATAAGAGAAAGGAGGAGCTATCTTCCCTTTGTTTTAATATCATGGAAAATTTTAATAATGGATGTTAAGGCATAATACTTGTAAGCATTTCTTTGTAGACCTCATTTATAAGATTGAAGAGGATTGCTTCTATCCTTAGTTTAATATCTCTTCCAGTGTAACACCAAACAATTGGCAAATTGAAATTTGATGTAAAATTTACCACTTATAACATCATCAGACAAAAGAGAAAATACTTGGAGATATATAAGATATGCGAGGCCTATAAAAAGCAAACTAATCTCAGGGTTGTGGATTCAAGCCCCACTTTGGGTGTACAGATGACTTAAAAATAAAATCTTAAAAAAAAAACCCACTGTGAAAAAAAATTTATTTTTTTTTAAAGATTGTATTTATTTATTTGACAGACAGATCACAAGTAGGCAGAGAGGCAGGCAGAGAGAGAGGAAGGGAAGCAACCTCCCTGCTTAGCAGAAGCCCGATGCGGGGCTCAACCCCAGGACCCTGGGATCATGACCTGAGCCAAAGGCAGAGGCTTTAACCCACCGAGCCACGCAGGCACCCCATCAAAATTTTAATAAAACCTAAATAAAAGGAGACATATCATGTTTATGGATTGGGACACTCAGTATTCCTTCTAAATTGAAGATTAAATGCAATCTGAATCCTTGTAGGCTTTTTTGTGATATAGAAATTGACAAGTGGATTCTATTTTTTTCTTGTATTTTTAACTTAAATTCAATTAATTAATATATAATGTATTATTAGTTTCAGAGGTAGAGGTCAGTGATTCATCAGTCTTATAGAATACCTAGTGCTCATTACATCACATGCCCTCCTTTTTTTTTTTTTTTAAGATTTTATTTATTTTTTGACAGAGAGGGAGATCACAAGCAGGCAGAGCAGCAGGTGGATGTGGGGAGCAGGCTCCCCACTGAGCAGAGTCTGATGCAAGACTCAATCCCAGGACCCTGAGATCACAACCTGAGCCAAAGGCAGAGGCCCATCCCACCGAGCCACCCAGGCGCCCCAATCACATGCCCTCCTTAATGTTCATCACCCAGTTACCCATCCCCTCACTGTCATCCCCTCCAGCAACCCTGTTTGTTTCCTATGATTAAGACTCTCTTATGGTTTGTCTCTCTCTGATTTCATCTTGTTTTATTTTTTCCTCACTTCCCCTATGCCTCTGCTTTGTTTCTTAAATTCTGCATGAGTGAGATCATATCATAATTGTCTTTCTCTGACTTATTTTGCTGAGCGTAATACTCTTTAGTTCCAACCACATCATTGCAAATGGCAAGATTTCATTTTTAATGGCTGAGTAGTATTTCATTGTGATTGTGTGTACACCACATCTTCTTTATCCATGCATCTGACAAGTGGATTCTAAAATTCATATGAAAAGGTGAAGGACCAAGAATGACCACTACAACTTTGAAAAAGACTGCTATAGGAATAACATGACCTTGATTTCAAGACATTATTAAAAAAAAAAATTATTCAGGGCACCTGGGTGGCTCAGTGGGTTAAGCCTCTGCCTTCAGCTCAGGTCATGATCTCAGGGTCCTGGGATTAAGCCTCACATTGGGCTCTCTGCTTGGCAGGGAGCCTGCTTCCATCTATCTCTCTCTGCCTGCCTCTCTGCCTACTTGTGATCTCTATCAAATAAATAATAAATAAAATCTTTAAAAAAACCCCAAATTATTCAATACATGAAAATATAGGAAATAGATAAATGCAATAGAAGAAAGTCCAGAAATAAACATACAGAGAAATGACAGATCTTCAGTGAAGATACAAAAGCCAATTCAAGGGAGAAGGAATAATCTTTTAAATCAATATGGTAGCAGCTCTTGGGTATCCGTTTTTTTTTGTTTTTTTTTAAATAATCTGTATGTCCAGGGTGGGGACCAAACTCTGGACCCCGAGATCAAGAGTCACATGCTCTACTGACTGAGCCAGCCAGGTGCCCCTGATATCCATTTTTTCTTTTTTTAAGGAATGTCCAAAAATTAACTAAAAAAAGGCACATACACGTCAGTAAAAAAAAAACTTAAAGAAACAAAGGGAAAATTATGTCTTTAAATTTGGCAAATTTTTTTTTTAGCAAATATTTCTTATATACAAGATCAAAAGAATATCCAGTGAAAGAATGGACAAATCTGACTTCCTTAAAATTTAAAAAATTATTTTCACAAGAAAAGTGATTGAAAAAAACAACACCATGACTGGAAGAATATATTGGCAAATATTTAAAATAGAAGACTTTTGGGGCACCTGGGTGGCTCAGTGGGTTAGGCCTCTGCCTTCGGCTCGGGTCATGATCTCAGGGTCCTGGGATCGAGCCCCGCATCGGGGTCTCTGCTCGGCAGTGAGCCTGCTTCCCCCTCTCTCTGCCTGCCTCTCTGACTACTTGTGCTCTCTCTCTCTCTCTGTCAAATAAATAAATAAATAAAATAAATTAAAAAAAATAAAATAGAAGACTTTTAACCATAATCCATGGACAAATGTCAAAACTCAGTAATTAACATGATAAATCATACAAACAGAAATTTCCAAAGATATGATAGCTGGAAATTAACACATGAAAAACATCTAAATACCACATCTTAGGGAAATACAAATTAACATCACCAGGTGCCATTACACACCTACTACACCACTGAAATTAGGAAGTCTGACCACACTAGGTACAAGGATATAAAGAAACTGGAACTCTGGTTCTGGTTTTTCTGGTGAGAATGCAAACTGATACCAACCCATCAGATTATCCCTTAATAAGTTATGACACAGGAACGCACTGCGACATTATTAATCACAAAGCCCTGCAGTATTTCCCAGAATGTCTTAGGAAGCAATGCAAAGGATGCCAAATTAGGAATAAGAAGTATTTTCTGACTCATACTGTGCTCCTGACATGACACTGCAACTCACAAAAGCTGTTCACCCCTTTACACTGGCAAATCACAATTCTATCTAAACCTGCAAAGGGCACATAACCTCCAAACTTCAACATGGCTTAAAAAATAAGGTGTTTGTCTACTACTAAGGGTTTTCTCTACTGTGAACTTCCTGGGGCCTGATGAAGCAATATCTTCCACCAAAATACTTTCCAGGGGCACCTGTGTGGCTCAGCTGTTAAGCGTCTGCCTTTGGCTCAGGTCATGATCCCAGGGTTCTGGGATCGAGCTCCACGTTGGGCTCCCTGTTCAGTGGAGAGTCCGCTACTCCCTCTCCCACTCCCCCTGCCTGTGTTCCCTCTCTCACTGTATCTTTCTGTCTAATAAATAAATAAAATCTTAAAAAAAATACTTTCCACATTTGCTGCACAGAAACGCTTTTCTCCAGTGTGGACTTTGTGGTGCTGAGTAAGTCTATCCTTGAGGCTGACGAGGTTTCCTATGATTTCCCACATCCATTATACTCAAAGCTTCTTCCTCCAGCTTGAATTCTCTTTGCTCAAGATTTCTTTTGTCCATGGAGGACATCCCATATTTATTACACTTATTCAAGGCCTCTCTCCAGCATGAACATTTTGGTGTTGAATGTGAGTGGATCAGTGATCAGTGTCTAAAGAATTTCCCACATTCATTACATTCATATGGCTTTTCTCCAGAGTTTCTGGTGCTCATTGAATTCAAACCCTTTTATGAGGGTTTTCCCACACTTGCTGCATTCTTAAAACCATTCTCCAGTGTGGATTCTCTGGTGCAAAAGAAATCTTTATTTTGTGGATGAAAGACTTCCACATTTACCGTGCTGAGATGGCCTTCTGTGGTGTGAACCTTCCGGTGTTTAAGGAGGGTGGAGCTGTGTCCAAAGAACTTTCCACACTGGCTGCATTCAAAAGGCTTTTCTCCAGTGTGGACTCTCTGGTGCTCAAAAAGTCTGCTTTTGGGGCGCCTGGATGGCTCAGTGGGTTAAGCCACTGCCTTCGGCTCAGGTCATGATCTCGGAGTCCTGGGATCGAGCCCCGCATCGGGCTCTCTGCTCAGCAGGGAGCCTGTTTCCTCCTCTCTCTCTGCCTGCCTCTCTGTCTGCTTGTGATCTCTCTGTCAAATAAATAAATAAAATCTTTAAAAAAAAAAAAGTCTGCTTTTGTAGACAAAGGACTTCTCACACTCACTGCACTTATAAGGCCTGTCTCCAGTGTGGATTCTCTGGTGCCCGAGAAGTCTCCTTTTATGGATGAAGGACTTCCCACATTCACTGCATTTATAAGGCCTTTCTCTAGTGTGAATTTTCCAGTGATGAAGAAGACTGGGTCTGTGTCTAAAGACCTTCCCACATTCGTTACACTCACAAAGCTTTCCACCAGTGTGGATTCTCTGGTGCCTTAGAAGTATTCTTTTGTAGAAGAAAGACTTCCCACACTCACTGCACTTGTAAAGCCCTTCTCTAGTGTGGATTCTCTGGTGCTCAAGAAGTCTGCTTTTATAGGGGAAGGATTTCCCACATTCATTGCACTGATGAGGCCTTTCTCCAGTGTGAACTTTCCAGTGTTGATTAAGGCTAGATTTGTACTTAAAGAACTTCCCACATTTGCTACACTTGTGAGGCTTTCCTCCAGTGTGGACTCTCTGGTGCTCAAGAAGTCTGCTTTTGTAGACAAAGGACTTCTCACACTCGCTGCACTTATAAGGTCTTTCTCCAGTGTGGATTCTCTGGTGCTCAAGAAGTCTTTTCTTGGAGATGAAGGACTTTTCACACTGACTACACTCGTGAAGGCTTTCTCCAGTGTGAGCACTCTGCTGCTCCTTGAATTTAACCTTTTTGTGGCAGGCCTGCCCACCCGTGCTGTGCTGCCCTCACGGAATGTGAGAAACTGCCTTGCTCCGACTGCTGCTGTGTGGATGCTCTTCACTGGGGATGGCCTGGTGCTGGAGAGAGCCCAGGCTGCCCAGGGAACCATCCTCAACTTCCCCACAGATGACAATATTGTCTGACACGAGGATTTTGCTCTTCATGAACAAAGCCCTGTGGTCCTCCCTTCCAAGGTCCTCCTTGTCACAGTCCTGCTTCTGGTTCTGGTCTATGTATGAACTAAACAAGCACAGTTTTCCACAAGGCCCACGAGTTCACAGGTTCAGCCCAGCACACGCTCCTTCGTGCTCAGCCAGGTACAAGATGTCTTTCTCTGCTGGGACACACACAACACAGGAACAAGCCCCTGGGATAGACAGGCCTAAATCTGGAGTCCTGGAATGTGACACTCTTTCCACAAAAACACAGTGCTCAGAAAAACCTTCCTCAGCTTTTACCCCATGCCAACAACCTGAGAGCAGAAAAATGCCAGTGAAGTTTTATGAGGCTTTGGTGGGACAGGACAGCCCATTACAAATGTGTGTAGGACAAAACCAAGAATGAATCCATGGGTTTGTTTTCAGGACAAGGGAGCCAGGAGCAGGAAGGAGATGCTGTGTAGCACTGGGCCTCTGATGGTTATAGAAAAGTGTGTGGGAAGACAGGGGCCTCACAACTAGCAAGAAAGTAGGATAGAGTGCTGTGCCAGCAAGAAAGGTCTGGTACAACTCACTCCTCTGTGAGAGGTTCTCAGCAGGACCTTGCCTGTTGGTGACAAGTGTGTACTGTTTAGAATGTATGTCCCACCCCAGAAGAAGACAACTGCCTTTTAGCTGGTGGTCAATCGTTTAGGGCTATGTGCATATCTCATGACACACACAGTGCAGGGTAATGTAGCAGAACACTGTGGATAGAGAAAAGGGGAAAGGTGTGAGGGACACAGATGTAGGAGAGACCCAGGGACTAGAAGTCACAGCAGAAATGACAAGTGGGCAAAGTGTCAAGGGCGGGGAAGAAGGATTGAAGCAAAGTATGGCCACAAGTCTTGGCACTAAAACAGTAGTAAGCAAAGGACAATTTCCTGGTATGATTTATACTCAATCCTGAAATTATGCCTTCCCACTGCTCCTCCTCACCAGATCCTATTGATCCCCCTTCCTATGGTTGGAGAGATGTCTGAGCTATCAGGTACCCAGGGTTCTCCTGTACCCCTCCATTCAACGTAGGCAATTTTCTGGGACCTAGCAGGTTGATGTCCTCAGGAGAAAACAGGGCAGTTAAGTGGGTGACACTGGCCCAGAGGGACCCAAACACTGATAGATTACAGGAAAGAAGTTTATTGGTAGGAGGATTCTGAGGATGGTCTTGCAAAAAATAATTTGGGGTTCCCTGCAAATACTGACCATGTCAGTGTCTATAATTCCCTACACAGGCAGTACACAAAACAGAAGGGGGCAGAACCTATGACAGAGATCTTCCACAAATGAGAACAGTCAACAAAGTAAGGAGGAGCAAGGCTAATCAGCACCGATCAGGCAGGTCCAAGGCTCAGAAACCAAACCCTTCTGTGAGAGGCTTCAAGGCAGAACATGTTGGGGTTTCATAAAGCCCAGGCCCAGCAAACGCAACACCTATGCCAGGAAACCAGGGAAGGAAGCAATGCCCATGGCCCAGCTCTGGCAGGGACAGAAATCCTTGGAAAAAGGAGAAGAGCACAGCCTCTTATAAGGCAATGGTGTGTGAATGAGGGTCCTTACCCAGGGACGCTATAAGCGCCAAGGTCTCCAGCATCACAGTGTGGTACAGGCGTCTCTGAGCCTCATCAAGGAGACCCCACTCCTCCTGGGAGAAGTACGGCCACATCCTCAAAGGTCACATGGCCCTGTCATGAAGAGGGCAGAGCAGTGCTTAAGCAGCCTCTCTAGCCAAGACCCCCAAGTCCATGGCCCTCTTCCACAGCTCCCCAACTCAGAGGAGACACCGGGTCCCACCCTAGGGTACCCCTCTCCGTCATGTCAAATGCCTCACTATTGCCAGTCATCAGTAAGAACAGATGGGGAGAGAGGCAATCTTACCCATGCTCTAGGCCGCTGTATAGAGTCCCTGCCACTCTCCTCACAGTCAACTCACCTAGGATCACACAGATCGTGCCCCATATGTCACTTAGGCTCAGCCTTCTGCCTTTAGCCCTGAGTACAAGGATGCTGAGTGCGTCTTCATACTTCCTCTGCATTTGCACAATGGAACCGCTCCTTTCTCACATGCCAGGTCACAACCACTCACCCACAACACCACTGATACCTCTGGTCCTTGTCATAGGCACCTCTCTGACTTCCCCATATGTCACTCTGCAAGTGGTTCCCAGCCAGTACTTGCCAAATGCCAGAGGATCCCGGGCTATCCCAGGGTGTCAGATGGACCCTCCTGCTAGACGCAGCCCCAGCACTGCTCTGAGGACCGCCCCATGTTGCCTGGCTCCGTCTTCCAACTTTAGCCACTCTAGTCCATGCAGGCATCAGACCCCCTAAGCCCTCCTCCTTCTCAGTGCTGCTTGTGTTGTTCTCACACCCGTCACACCTCTCTTCACCTCATCTCATTCAAAGCCAGGCCCACTTCTCCCACTGCAGCCAAACAGACTCTCAGCTGACCTCCTCTTCCCTTAAGCTAATCTGTCATCCCATCTGACCCGCTTCAGGTTCCAGCAAGAGTTGTCACAAAACTGAACCTGTAGAGCGAAAAAAGTAGCACACCTTACTCAGTGTCATCTGATCTCTGTTACTGCTCTTTTTATTTTTGTAATTTTTTAAAAAAGATTTTATTTGTCCATTTAGGAGAGAGAGAGAGCATGAGAAGGGAGAAAGTCAGAGGGAGAAGCAGACTTCCCATGGAGCTGGGAGCCCAATGTGGGAACTCAATCCCGGGACTCCAGGATCATGACCTGAGCCAAAGGCTGTCACCCAACCAACAGAGCCACCTAGGCGCCCTGCTCTGCCTTTCGATAAATCTTGCATCCAGCCCCTGGGAATCCTGTGCCACCACCTGGACTCCCACTTAAGGCCTGTTCCCTTACACCCACCCCCACCCCCGTGGTACTGTACCTTCTCATGTCTTAGTGATGACAGCCATCCCTATCCAGGTGCCCAAGAAGTGGGTCAGTCCATGGAGAATATCCTCACCATCCTTCCCCTGTAATGGCATTGCCACCATGATCTGCAGACTGCCCCTCTTAAATATGACACGGTCTGCATGCCTGCCACCACTGAGGGGTGTCTTCAAACCTAAACCCCTTCCCTGAAATCCAGATGTTTGCTTCTAGATGCCCACCTGTCACCTCCACTCAGAGATCCCTGCAATATCTCAGATGCAACATGGCAAACACTGAGCTCCGGACAGTGCTGCTATGAACTTTCCATCTCAGCAATGGCACTTCCATGCTTCCAGCTAAAGCCAAATATCCTGGAGTAATCCCAGACGCTCTCTCATCCTGTAGAGCCGAAAATCATCCCTACTTACAAAATAGCCAAGAAACAATACAGTTTTCTCCAACTATGGTGCCAGTGCTATGATCCGCTACCATTAACCTTCACCAAGACTGCGGCCTCCACTGGGGTCTCCCTTCCTCCACCTGCACCCCCACAATCTGTCCTCCACTCTGCAGGCAGACTAGCCTACTTAGACCTGAATCAGATCACTTCCCTTCTCTGCTCCAAACCTTCCATGGACCCAGGACACTCAGCAGACCCAATTCCTCAGGCTGCTACCTGACGACTGACTCCTGCCCCTCAGTCTCTGCCCCCAGCAGATCTAACACAGGCCTGTGGTTCACTGAACACTCCCTTGTGGGCATGTTGGCTCTTGTGCCAGGAAGCCCTTCATTGTGTCACCTTATGGACTAGAGAAATGGGACACCTCAATACAACTTCTGAACTTCATTAAGGACTCTGCACCTAAGATGACCCAGGGCCTAGAACAAAGGGTCTGAGGATGTCTCTTTTATCTATGTGGCAGCACCATGGGAGTGGCCATCAGGGCCAGTGAGCACAACCTCCCAGCACGTCTATTATTTCAATGTGTTCACCATCCTGGAGGTTTCCTGAATCTCACTGCTCCAGTCTTTATACCTTCAGCTCCTCTCCCATCTAGGAGGTAGGGGGTAGCTAAAAGTTGAAATGTCTTTTGTTGTTGCTGTTAACATCTCCTTTATTTTTATGTAATCCCTACACCCAACGTGGGGCTCAGACTCTTTTGACCCCAACATCAAAAGTCTCATGCTCTTCCATCTGAGACAACCAGGCACCCTGAAAGTTTAAACTTCTAATCACCTGGTCCTTCTGTTGACCACCCCCAACTTGAGGCTATCCAGGAGTCCCACCCCAAGTCACCTCATTAGGATAAACTCCTGTGTGATAAAAGGGGACAGTTATGATAAAAACCACTGCTAACACCCAGGAAATCCCAAGGGCTTTAGGAGATCTATGGCAAGAGTCCATGACAAAATCCAAATATATATATACATTTTATCACAGAGGTATATTGTCATTTCAGTCAACTATTGCTCGTGTAAGGTTAAATGGCTAAAGCTACAGCGTTTTGAAGCTGTACTTCCTGGGAGAGCGGAGGCACCTACGAGACCTTCTTGAACCTGGGCTGCTCCACCAGCCAGGCTGGCCCTTCCTCGCTCCACGGGGAATAGTCAGTCTGTTGAGCCTCAGAGCAGAGACACCCCTCACCCGCCCTCACACCTCCCCTTCCCACTTCAGCAGGGCTCCCTCCTCATTGCAACTTCCCCTCCCGCAGTAAAGCCCTGGACCACGGGACCCTCCCGCCTGCAGGCGCTCCGCCCGCCCTCCAGCCCCAGCTCTCTGTTCCTTCCTCTCAGGGCCTTTCTTAAAGAAGCGTCCAGATTTTTCCAGCTTAAACCCGAGAGCCAGTCTCGGTCCTGGGGCAGGACTCGGGCGGTCACGACACCGACATCACTGCGCCCGCTTCCGCGGAGTCCAGAGCAGAGACTACAGCCGCCAAGGCGTCCCCTCTGCTGTGGGAGCTCGGAAACAGTGTGTCCGAAACCCAGCTCCTAAGCTCTCCCGGAAGCCTGCTCCTCACACCAGCGCCTCGCCGCAGCGCGTCCAGACCCGCAAGCAGAAGGCCGACGGAGAGTCTTTCCTCCTGTCCTGCTCCAGCCACAGGCGCGGCCGCGGGACACCAGCACCACCGTTCCGCGTCCTTCGCAGCCGTCTTCCCCGCGCCCCAAGCCCGTCCTCCCCGGGCAGCGGCTGACGGGCCGCACAGCGCCAACCCACCCCGCGTCCCCGTTCCCTACCCCGCCGCCCCGGCTGCTCGCGGCAGACGGCAGTCGGACCCCCAGCTCTGCCGAGGCTCGTCTCACGCGCGCCCCGGGCTTCGCACGCGCCGGCCCCTTCCTCACGTTTTCCACGGGCGGCCAGAAATGGGTCCCCGCCCACGAACGCCCGCGTTCTGGGGAGCCGGGCCTGGCAGTGCCCGGAGGAGACCCACCCCCTTGGGGCTCGGGCCGGTGAGGTCCAGAGAACACACGCTCTCACCTGAGCCGGGTACGCCAGCCCGGCCGTCACCACCGTAACGTGCGGGCTCAACTGGGCCAGGGGACAAGCGATAACGGCGGCACCGGGCAGGAGGCCCGAGCGCGGCTCCCCGGAGCCGCGCTCACACTGAACCTCGAACCCGCTCCTGCTCGGGGCACACGTGTATTCTTTCCGCTCCCCTAGGTTCTAGCTCCTTCCGCCTGACGCAGACTGGGAGCACCGCCTCCACGAGCTGCCGGCGGGGAGCCCCGCCCCCTGGCCGTCCTCCCTCTTGGACACGCCCACTGTGCGTCCTCATTGGTCAGCGTGATCAGGAAGCTGGGCGCACAGTCTTCTGGGTAACGTAGTTCCTTTCTTCGTGGCTTGCAGCGGGGTGAGAGCTTCCGCCGCAGGTGGAAGGTCGGGTGGCCACTATGGAAAAACACATCAAATAAAAGTCCGCAAAACCTGTTCACCTTAACATAAAACGGCCAGTTATCTTATCAGCCAAACATGGGCTTATTGGGGAATAAAAGAATTGTAATCCAGGACGAAGAAGCTACGGCAAAACCGCCGGCAGAAGGACGAAGGAGAAGAGCCCACCTTTACGGAGAAAAGAGCAAGTTGGGAGGAGTGTTATAAACTAGAAGTCCCCTGGGATAAACTGGGAGTTCCAGGTCGAGTGGCTTCTCGGTGGCTGAGTTGCCGAGCTGGGGGGTGAGCCACGCTCGCGTTCTGCCGCGGGCCGTGTAGAGCAGTATGCATCTGCCAGGTCAAGGGGACCCCTTCCTGTGGGGCTGCGTTGAGCGCCCGCGGCAGCGCCCGGGAGCTCCCCGCTGAAACCTCCTCTCTGCACTCTAGGGAGGTTTCCGTTACTAATTCTCATAGGTACGTGTGTGTAGAAGGAGGATTCACTGAGCTTTGGATCAGCAGCTATGACTTAAGAGAGATCTGAGTGACTGAACGTAGATTGGTTTAGAAAGACCCTCCGCTGGCGAAACAGGGTTACCTGTCCGGGCTAGGAAGGGGGAAGGGGGTTAGAGGAGGGGCGGGTGTCAGGGCATATGCTCCTGACATTTATACATAATTGATTCCCTAAAAACTTACACTGAAATTTTCCATTTTTAAACTTACATTTTATAATTTTTAAAACACCGCTTAATATTGAAAAGAGAAATTTGGGACGTAGCTAATAGAGTAAAAAATGTAAGAGGGACGGACCTGGGTGGCTCAGTCAGTTAAGCATCCAACTCTTGATCTCAGCTCAGGTCTTGGTTTTGGGGTTGTGAGTTGAAGCTGTCTCTTGGGCTCCCGACTGGGCATGGAGATTAGTTACACACACACACACACACACACATATGTAATAGACCTAGGACAGTGAAGTAAACTAACAAAAAGGGAAAGATTTGTGATTTTTTGGAAGAAACATCATAAAATAAATTTAAAGCTCTTTTTAAAAAATATTGATTTATTTATTTGACAGAGATCACAAGTAGTCAGAGAGGCAGGCAGAGAGAGAGGGGGAAGCAGGCTCCCTGCTGAGCAGGATCCTGGAATCATGACCTAAGCTGAAGGCAGAGGCTTTAAACCACTGAGCCAACCAGGCACCCCAATTTAAATCTCTTTTTTAAAATAAAGTTAAATCTTAAACACTTAGGTAAGAAGATGTATTCTGGGAATTAATAAAATTTGCTCATATAAAAGTCCAAATCAAACTCCAATAAATCTGAAATTGCTGTAGTTACTGATCATTCCAGCCCTTAAAGACTTCAGAAACACAAATCCAATAAAAGATTATGATATTCCCATAATCACAGGGTGTTGGGCAACAAAGGGAGGATCCAAATTAAGTAACTCCTGCTCTTAGAAAGAGCGACATGAACTTCCCCATCAAACAAGTTCTCCAGGGGCACCTGCATGGCTTCGTTGGTTAAGTGTCTGTCTTCAGTTCAGGCCATGATTCCAGGGTCCCTGCTCAACAGGGAGTCCGCTTCTCCCTCTCCCTGTCCCTCCCCCCCTTCCCCTGCTCATGCTCTCTTTCTCTCTCTCTCAAGTAAATAAAATCTTTTTAAAAATATACAAAAATTATTTTCATATAAAAGTTTAGGGGCGCCTGGATGGCTCAGTCTGTTAAGCCTCTGTCTTCGGCCCAGGTGGTGGTCTCAGGGTCCTGGGATTGAGCCCCGAAACGGGCTCTCTGCTCGGTGGGGAGCCTGCTTTCCCCGCTCTCTCTCTGCCTGCTGCTCTGCCTACTTGTGATCTCTTTCCCTCTGTCAAATAAATAAAATCTTTTTTAAAAAGTTTGCAGTAATTTTTCTATGAGATTAGTGCAAGTCATGAATTTAAAATAAGAAAACAGGGCGCCTGGATGGCTCAGTGGGTTAAAGCCTCTGCTTTCGGTTCAGGTCATGATCCCAGTGTCCTGGGATCGAGTCCCGCATCGGGATCTCTGCTCAGCAGGGAGCCTGCTTCCTCCTCTCTCTCTCTCTGCCTGCCTCTCTGCCAACTTGTGGTCTCTGTCTGTCAAATAAATAAATAAAATCTTAAAAAAAAATAAAAAATAAAATAAGAAAACAGGGTGCCTGGGTGGCTCAGTCTGTTAAGGGTATGTCTTCAGCTCAGGTCATGATCCCAGAGTCCTGGGATCGAGTCCCGAATGGGGCTCCCTGCTTAGCGGGGTGTCTGCTTCTCCCTCTTTCTCTGTCCCTCCACCCAACTTGTTCTCTTTCACATGCGTGTGTGCTCTCTCTCTCTCAAATAAATAAAATCTTTAAAAAATAAGATAAGTAAAGAGTGTCTGATTGACATAATGCATTGGAATTCAAGTTCAAAACTAACAATCATTTATAAAAGTTATAGAGAGGGCCTCCCATATTTAGATTCCTCCTGCAAGACTGGGTTGTGGTGGTGCTACAGAACATTGGAAAATGGCTGCTTAAAAAAATCATTCAGTGGTAATCCTACTGGTTAAACTCCAGTTTTCATCTCTGCTCTTAATCATACAGAAAAATTAATTTCAGATAAGACTTCAATAAAAATATATAACTCTTACAAGATTGTGGAAGAAAACATACCTGTGAAATTATAGAGCAGGAGCTCTCAAGCCAAATATAAAACTTATCAAAAGATATACACAAACTATATGAAAATAACAGGCTTCCGTTATTAAAAAACAATGACAACATAAACACTGAAATAAGACAAGTAAGAAAATACTGACTCATCTACAGGGACACCTGGGTATCTCAGTCAGTTAAGTGTCTGCCTTCAGCTAAGGTCATGATCTCAGGGTCCTGGGATCAAGTCCCACATTGGGCTCTCTGCTCAGCAGGGAGCCTGCTTCCTCTTCTCTCTCTACTGCCTCTCTGCCTACTTGGGATCTCTGTCTGTCAAATAAATAAATAAAATCTTTAAAAAAATTTTTTTGAAAAAAAAAAAAAGAAAGAAAAACCAACCTCTTCTCCCAACTTCAAAGCCATTGCTATGATCCAGCTACCATCAGCCCTCCCCTGGACTGTTGTAGTAACTTACCCTGGGGTCTCCGGATCACCTCAGGCTGCCATTCCACGACTGGCTTCTGCCCCCATCCCTCAATTTTCTGTGCCCAGCAGACATAATAGAGACCTACAATTCATTCGCTGAACACCCAACTCATTGTCATCCCTAAGCATCTGAACACACTGGTTCCTACAGCCAAGTTACCTTTCTTTTCCTCCTCCTACTGGTTGAGTATTGCCCCAGAAAGTGAATCCCACCCCCGACCCCACCTCAGTTGACGGTGTTTCCATTCTTGCAGGTGCTAGACCCAAACCCTGCAGTCATCCAGCTCCCAGAGATCTAGAATCCAACTACCTCCCCCACTTCCTCAGCCACCCTTCTGGTCCAGCCACCTTCAGCAGTGTTCCAGACTACTGCACTTTTCTCCTTCCTCGCCCCCACAGTTGGTTCTCCACTCAGAATTTCCCAGAGGACTTGTTCATGATGAGTCAGATCACCTCCCTTTTCTGCTCCAAATCTTCTGTGGCTCCCCAGACCCTCAGAACAGAGGCTCAACTGCTCAGCCAGTAGTTCCAGTACAGAATCCTGCCCCCACTGCCCTCTCAATTCCCACCAGATATAAAGCAGACATGATTCCCCGAACACTATCCACTCAGCCTCACCTCCAAGCCTCCAGACACTGCTTGCCATCTCAGGGACAATCTTTGACTTCATGTTGTGCTGGTTGCCAGAAATGTGGACTTTATCATATAAGCCCTGGACTGGATTCAGGATTCAGGAATCCAGGCCAAGGGGAGCCCTCAAGTTCCCCACAGCAAGAAGTGCCAGCTAGAAAGGTGAAGAGGAGCCCATGAAACCACTCTCCCTCAGACAGGGACCAGGCAGGTGGGGGTCTGGGGGAGGGAGGGCCAATCACAACTTTAATCCATCTCAAATCCTTGATCTTTTTATCACCTGTACTCTGTTCTTCCTGTTTCTGTATGACCTTCTAACACACTGTGTGACTTAGTATCACAGGTGCATTGTTCCCTTTTTCATCAACTACAGAGTAAATTCCAGGATTTCTATTTATATTCTGTGTACTGATATATTCCATATGCCTAGAAATGTGCCTGAAACCCATAAACTACACAATAAATATTTGTTAAAATACTGAACAAATAAGCACCTCACAATACCCTATTTATTCACACAACTCTGGATATACTTTTTCCCTCCATCCACACTGTTTTTCCCTTCAGTTTCACTGTGCTCAGTGCTCTCAGAAATGAGAAGGAATTATCTTCTGTAAATAGAGCCCTCAAACTGACTAAGACATTTGATCAACCTCTTTCTTTCACTAGTTAGATAAAACGGTATTCTTCCACATTCCATTAGGACTAAATTATTTCTTTTTTTTTTTTTGAAGATTTTATTTATTTGACAGACAGAGATCACAAGTAGGCAGAGAGGCAGGAAGAGAGAGAGGAGGAAGCAGGCTCCCTGCCAAGCAGAGAGCCTGGTGTGGGGCTTGATCCTAGGACCCTGAGATCATGACCTGAGCCGAAGGCAGAGGCTTTAACCAACTGAGCCACCCAGGTAACCCAAGACTAA